TTCTCTTGTACACACGCATGTATTAAATTTCTTGGGACAACTGATGGCTCCGGGGTCTCTGGATTGAGACTTTAGATCCGTGGTGAAAAATTATTTCCAGGACCTCTTAATACCTCTCCCCCCTGCTCTCTGAACTCATGAATAAAATTAAGATTAGCTGGGCCATGAGGGGGTGGGAGGTGGGGAATCTTGGCAACACGTGGCTAACAAAGCACTTGTCACCGCCGCACATATAAAGAACAACGCGTTAGCAATAAAGATAACCCAAGAGCAACCTCTAAGACCTGTAACCGACACTTCACGAGAGAGAGAGGGTCATTCAGTGCAACCTATGAGTTGGAATGCTGGCACTTGACCAGACGACTTGTTTTTCTAAGCCTTGCAAATTTTCTTCTTTGACAGGGTGCGATCTTACCGCTTGTTTTAGCGGAAAAAGCAGTTTGAATTTCCCTCCTCTGCCAGGTTTCTGCCCCCACACAGTTGTTGCTTACACAGGTCTCACGGCCCAAATAAATGATCAGCAAACACATGGGAGGAGGCTTGCCGCCTGACTGAAAGGATCCCACTGGTGCCTCTTAAGACCCAGCAATTGGCTTCCCAAAGGTCTGAGCCTTGAAGAACCTTACTGCGCTTGCTCTGTTCTGTTGTTACTTCATGAATAGCCCCTCGGGAAACACAAATGGGGCCTGTACTGAGATGCCACTTAGCGGTCCTCGGATGAAAAAGACCAGATGACAGGGCGGATGTGGAGTAACTGGAACTCTTGCTGGTGAGAGGCTCCAGGGGCCCAACCCCTTCGGGGAACGGTTTGGTGCTTTCTTACCCAGTTCAATCTACATTCACCCCACGGTGCAGCAATTTCTCTAGCCCACATTTTTAACATGGTCACAAAAAAGACAAAGATGGGGGCAGAGTCGAACGCCACTCCACAGGGGTGCCAAGGCTGAGACCTTCTGGAAGCCAGGTGCCAGGCCTTTCTTAGGAGGCACGAGTGGAATCAAACTGTCAGCCTTTCCGTTAGGAGTCAAGGCGCCTTTCAAGCTGTGAGGAAATGTCCACCAAGAGCGTGGCAGGGCGCAACACATGACACTTGATTTCATTGTATGTCACCTTTCCTCCCACTCGAAAGGAAGCCTTTAAGACTCCAGATGCTATGTCTTTTGATAGCCAGGCACCATCAGCTTTCTTCGCCATAAATGCACCCATTTGTCTTCAGCGATCGTGTTGGGAAGGTGAGCATCATGGAATGCCATCTTGCCTTGAGGGAGTGCTTGAGTGGAGACCCGCCATTGGGGCTTTTGTTGTAACCAACTGTTGGTGATGGTGCTCGGGTCTTCCGCGTTGGTTCTGACACACAGCAGGATCACAGAACGAAAGCCTGCCTGGCCCTCTGCCGCCCGCACAGTTGTTCTTAGGCTTGAGCCCACTGGGCTAGCGCTGTGTCCATCCATCCTGCTGAGGGCCTTCCTCATTTTCGCTGCCCCTCCACTTTATCAGCACGATGTCCGTCTCCAGGGACTGGTCTCGCCTGACCACAGGTCCAAAGTAGGTGAGCTGAAGTCTCCCCATCCTTGCCTCTAAGGAATGTTCTGGCTGTACGTCCTGCAAGCCTGTGGGAAACGAACAAATGTCGTTCCCAGATTCTCCCCTAACAGCTGTGCTGCCTTCAAGTGAGCACAGGGCTGATTCTGTCTCCCTGTAGGGGCAGACATTCCCTGATGATCTCCTCCCACTGAGGCACCCATCCCCCATCACGTCTCCCCCCATGCAGGTTTCAGTGATTTTACAGAGACTTTACAGTGATTACCACCCACCTTGTGACATATGGAACTACTGAATACACATGTCTTATGGCTACCTACAAATAGCCCCAAAACAATAAAGACACTCTCTCCCCCAGTCCTCCCTCCTCTGGCCCTCTCCCCTCTCCAGCCCAGGGCCCCTATCCTCGGGTCCCTTCTCCTCCGGTCCAGTCCCCCTCTCTGACCCAGTCCCCTCTCGCCTGGCCTATCTTTCCCACTCCCTCTCCCCACTCTCTCCTGCCCTCTCCACCTTCCACATCCCCACGTGGACCACCAAGTGGAGCTGAGGTGAGCATGCTACCATGAA